TCAATCTGGCGCATATATCAAAAGGTTTAGAAGTATGTAGAACGTACTTTTTTCAATTAGTCAAGAAAAGTTCTACATGTATTTCTAGATCTATAAGACAGTGTGTAATATTTCTGAAATTACATTTCTTGATAGAATAAAGTTGATTTATTGCGAAGTATTTTTAGAAAAAAGGAAAATTACTATCATAAAGAAAGAAAAAAATGTAATTTTTCAGATAATACGGAATTTTTTTTCCTCAGAAATAACGCACGCTGGAATTTACAAAGAATGAAAATGATAGCATATGAAACATATAATATTTTTTAAAATAATAAATATTATCAATTTGTTTTGATGTTGTTTACCTGCATTTTCTGTAATTACTAAGTTAACATATTCTGTATTATTTTTTTTGTGTTGTTACTTTGTTTCCATACATATATTGCAATATTTTTGAGTGACATTTCAAAAAAAACTACAGTAAACTTGAAATTTGTATTTGCTATCAGGGCCATTGTATCGACCATAGAATTTGCGAAAAATTGACTTTAAACTGTTGATATCTTTGTATCATCAATTTATTTTTCAATAGCTTTTTTTCACAATCAGTTGATTAGAATATAGGTAGCAGATATACATATAGGTAAATACTAAGAATCTGGTTATTTCTGCTGTTCTATAGCGGTATGCACATACACCTGTAAAATCGATACAGAAAGAAGTCTACCAAATCTTATCACAAGAAGATGAGCGAACAAAACGAGCAAAATGCCTATTATGCGACAAATAAGAAAGTCAAAAATCAGATGTCAATTACTTTGACATTTCATTTAACATTCAAGTATACTTCATAAAAAAATCTCAATTTGCAACGATCTCACAAGGATTAAAATAATTTGTCTATGAAATAGCGTACACACGAAAGAGGTCAAAAATGATAATTTCTTCATATTATAAAACAATTTTTCCATTTGAGTGTGTCTTCGCTCTTTTTTCTTTTTCTTTCTTTTTTTTCTTTTGAAAAATTATATAATCAAAGTACGCGTATAAATATACAATTTTGGGATAACAAAAACATGGAGCAAAGACCCACCTTACCTTAAAAATACACTTTTATGACACAACATTCGTATCTTTCCGAGAAATATTTGGAGTCCATTTAGTCAAGGGTCTTAACTAAATGCCGCCATTTGCCATTAACTGTATAGAGTAGTGGTTAGCGTGTTAGTTTCAAAGAAAAAAAAATGATACTCAGGATTTTTATTTCTTATTTCTCGAACCCCATTTTATTAAATGAAGGAATGATTTTATTTTCTGAAAGATTTTTTGGCAGAAAAGTTTTGGTTTTTATAGAGTCATATGTAAAAAATATCCTATGGTTTAACCATGCTCCCATGGGTCCTGAGTTTAGCAATTAAAACATGATCTACATTATATTAGGAAGCTTTCACATATTCAACTTTGAAAAATGAACCCCACGTCAATTTCAATCCGGGTCAAAATTCTTCGTTACACCGGCGCCGCGTCATTCCTAAGAAGTGACTCTTACTTCGCCAAACACCCGGCATTAGTGAGAATCACGTGTCTTTTGGATATGACCTTAAAACGTGGGTCCCGGCGTGTCAAGGTAGGCGTTGGCACGATAAAGAACCTTCACTTCTCAATGGCCCAGAGTACCGAATAAAGGTTTAAATTTGAAGCCATTCATCGATTTTTGGTGACGTCTCATATATAAGTGAAAATTTCTGGAGAGGAACATAAAACAGCATTCAATCAATCAATCAATTCTACTAGGACGCCACACTCTAATTCAGACGATCAGAAGAAAATCCGCAACACAAAGACTTAAAGTTTCAGTGGTTTATTATGCACAATACATAGCTGTCATGTTGTAAATTCTGATTTTTTTTCTTGCTTTGTTTGTTTGTTTGTTATTTAAAGTGACACCGTGACGCACAAACGGGAAAATTGACAAACATAGAACTTTTGCATGACCCGTGCAAATTTTGTTCAATTCCTAAAAGTATTAAGTTTCAGAAAATTACAGGTTTCGGAACCTAAAAAATCTACTTTTATGGAGAAAGAAATAATTTTTGTATGGCCCAACACGAAAATATTGCTTTACTTCTTCCTCCTTATTGTACGCATGCGCAGAAAAGTTGAAGAAGTTACCATGGTCTCAAGTACCAAAAATGAATGTTGGTAGACCAAGAATTTTGATAGAATCTTCAAAAAAGATTATTAGAACATATTTCTCACCTTTGCAAGCTCCAATTGAATGCTGTTTACAAGTTTACACTAAAAATAAAAGTGGCGTGACCTTGACATCTACGATAAGATTGAAACGGTAGATACAACCTTTGTTTTCCCGGCACTTATATTGTGCAGTCTTTTCTTGCTTTACAGTGTAGTTTAATTTTCATATCTTCGCTATACTCATAATTTTCATAAATCTTTCGCTTTATGTTATAAATATGTTAAAAGAAAATGATTTTGACACATTATGTAACTTTAACGTCCCTCTCGAGAATTTTTTTACTCATATGGAGACACCACCACTTACCAGTGGAGGGCTGAAAATTTATACCTATACTCGGCACTTAGGGTCATTTTTCGTGCCAGCACCTACTGCGACACGGGACCCGGTTTATACGGTCTAATCCGAAGGACCGGTCTCCACGTCCTGCAGTGGGACGTAAGGATCAACTCCTCACACCGCGACTCTAGAGCAAACACTCTAACCACTGCACCACGCGGGCGACATTTTTTGAATTTAGCGCGTGTGGCGGTAAATTTAAAATCGAGACAGTGATGTTTCTCGATAAACGACATTATAGAAACAGGGAATCAGTTACTAATATCATGTAATTTGTTTTCGAACTTAGTAATCTGCTTTGTTAACACAAGTACATATGTGTATATATAGAGACTTAAAATATTACATGTTTTTATTGATAAGTGTGCATTGCTTTACTTATTATCACGAAGTAGACGTCGGTAACTGATTGAAAGGTCGATAAAATCACTGAATGATTGATTGATTGTATGTTGTTTTACGTGCAGTTCGAGAATTTTTCACTCATATAGAGACGTCACCATACACCGGTGAAGGGCTTCAAATTTAGACCTTTACTCGGCACTCAGGGCCATTGAGCAGTGAGGGTTCTTAATCGTGCCAAAGCCTACCGTGACATGGGGCTTCTGTTTTTAAGGTATCATCCGAAGGACCTGCAACTTTCACTTCAAAGTGCCGAACGCTTGGCGAAGGAACAGTTGCTACCTATTTTTCATCAACTTAGGTCATTCGCGGCCGTGATTCGAACTCACGACCTTCTGATCATAAAGCGAGCACTCTACCGATTGAGCTTCCGTGACGGTACTTTGAATGCAAAATACACTGTAAACGTTTTTACTTTAAAGGTAATCATATTTTAGCGCCTTCCGCGCTGTTTTCTGCTAAAACTTATCGAATCTTTGTGCGCTAATTTATAATTGAACTAATCAGTTGAAGAGGATAATCGCGTAAAATTTGAGTGCGCAAATATGTACGTTTACAGTATATTTGATAATTTATAGTTCCTCATTTTGGATACTTTAAGTTTTGTTAGATAAATTTTGCATAAAAGATTATTTTGGGTCGATTTACGATTAAGGAAACTGCACTTGAATTGTAAAAGGGCTTTCATTGTGGATTAGTCTTGTTACTTTTTTTATTTTTAGCTCAAGTGGCTTTTCTGATCAATTGTTGTCCGGCGTCCGTCTGTATTTTTTTCACATTTTCGACGTTTCCTCAAGAACCACGGAACCAATTTAAACCAAAGTTGGCACAAAGCATCCTTGGATAAAGGAAATTCCAAAATATACTATTAAAGAACCAAGCCTCCTTACAAGAAGAGATAATCAACAAAAGGCAAAAATAGAATGGAGTCATTAAAAATCTTCTAAAGAACCACATAAGATGAAACTTATTTGAAAGCTTCCTGACATAATGTAGATTCTAATTTGGTCAAATCATTGTCCTTGGTAGGGTGGAGATCAAAAAGGGGTTAAATTTAACATTGATTATATATAGGAAAAAAAATCTTTAAACATCTTCTCTTTAGGAACCACTAGACCAAAAAAGAAGATATTGTGAAAGCTTCCAAAATCAAAAATGAAGGCCCCCTTTAGTAGGATGGAGCCACTATAGGGGATCAAAGTTTTACATTGGAATAGGTGGGATTTTTTTTTAATCCGAAAAATTGAAACTTATGTGGAAGCTTCCTAATATAGTGTATTTTTTAATTGCTTAAATCATGCCCCCTGGAAGCATGGTTGAACCACAATTATAGGAGATGTTTTACATGTGACTATATAAGAATACGTTTTGAACAAATCTTCTCAAGAACCACACTAGAACCATAAGGCCTCCCGGTAGCAAACCCTCGACGACCCCCACCACTCCCTCTCCCAGCAGGTATGATGTATAATTATTCAAGTTTCATATGTTTCGGATGTATTAAAATTGAAAATAAATAAGAATTGCATTTTATATTAAACATTCCCAAGTTGTATGGATTTAGGTTTTTTTTTTTCATATTATTGACCTCGGTTAGAGTTAGCTAAAATCGGCCTAAATTTTAGTATCAATTTTTGACATGATGCACTTATACAGGAAAAGAATTTTCTTCTCCATGGCTGCAAAGACATGTTAGTCATATTGAGATTGATGAATCTCCATGTTGTGTAGATTCAGAGACCCCTTGAAGTGGGGCTATAAAACGAGGTCATTATTTTTCACGGAAATATAAAAATTTATTTAAAATCTGATGAAGAACATCAGAGCTAATGTTACTCAGGTGAGCGTCGTGGCCCTTCTGCCTCTTGTTCAAATAGTGCTAGTTCGATCCCTTGTCCAAAATGGACAAAACCCTTGAAACTAATAATTGTTAATTTTGCCCTTTGCTCCTAAAGAAGCCATATAATCAATTTTGTTATAATGAGTTCAGTAGTTTAAACAAAAGTAGGTCCAAACGAGCTAAAAATAAGGGTTTTTTTCCCTTTTATTGTAAAAAAAAAAATAACAAAATACACAAGAAAAACATTATTTCACTTCAAGTTGTATGGTAAAGATAATTGACATGCATGGTTGCTTATTGCTTGCGTGTTTTGTTAATGGACAGCAGCCTTAAAGTAAGGCATGATATATTTGTCTGGTTTTGCAATTTTTCAACAAAAAAATCTACCTGTGGAGCACACTTATTGTGAACCTCCCGCAATTCCTCATGAAAACAATTGCATGTAGGTCACTGACGCTTCTTGGTCATCGGGAAGCCAAAGTCAATCCTTGATAATTTAATAATATTAAAGCACAAAGAATTATATATGTTTAAAAATGTTCCAAAATTTCACGAGGATTGCAGAAATCTTCTTTTTTTTTTTTTTGTTTAATACTTAAATAGATGAAGAATATAAAACATTACTATCTTTTAGAAAATTGATGCAAAAGAAGACTTTGTACGGCGGTTTTTAAACTAATACTACGCGTCCAGCAAAATGTATTCATATCTTAAACGTCATGAATATCACACCCGATTTGTTCCCGCCGCCATCTTGTTCGTCCAATCCGGCACGAGATCATGACAGTGACACCTCATCTAGAAGTTTTGTGTTACCCGCACTGACACGCACACAACTGTGTAAATACATGTACTTTCATATAAATGTAATGCCCCAAATGAGCGTTCCCATCACATTCTAAACGATTACAGATAAATTTTGATTTGTTTTCAAAGAAATTTCATTTAACACTGAGGTTAACCTGATTGGTACTTACAAGCGAGGGGGGTAGGAGTTGTCGTTATTTCTAGAGATTATGCAAGTGTGACATACATGTATAAATTGATTTCAAACGTGTACTACATCATAATCTTATCGACGGGAAGCAACGAAAAATCACGAATAATGACGGATCCCTTTCTGAAGTGGGGGCCATTTTTGTAATGTTAAACCCCGGTAGTCTTTGAATTTGCCACAGTAATGAACCCCCACCCCCTTTTCCATTTTTTAAATCTGGGATTGGCACACTTTTTTCCTATTCGAGTATTCTAATATGCAAATATATAATTTGAAAGCCAAGGTATTTAGGTATTTTGAGATATGCAAAAAGTAATGTCCTTGGTACCGTGGGAAAGAGTATAAGTTGTTGCTACACAGTTGTTTAAAGGCAACATTTGCATATTAAGTATCGCATATCCTGTTAACCAAAACAACAAGCATACAAAAGTGTACAATATATAAAGAACAAATAAATAAAATAATTAAATTAGCAATAACAACAACAACGATAATTTGACAGATTTGCTCTACAAGTTTCCATTATCGCAAGATGGGAGGTTTGGCATGTCTTTTCATGTGTTTAGCAAGGTGGTCACTCCTCATAAATCGTCTCTCACATTGACTGCATACAAACTTTTTTTCCCCGGTATGGGTATACCTGTGACGTGACAGTTCATCAGAGCGGGCGAATTTCTTATCACAATTCTCCCATTTACAGATGTAGGGTTTCTCTCCTGCAACATATCAAAAGTACGTATTCTAAAATTAGAACATTGCTGTAAGCTTACAATATCGTTTTTTTTGTCGCAGACATGTGAGCATCAATATGAACATCATGTAAGCAACATATGAAAGTGCATAATATCTATACTAGATCCATAATTTCTAAATTTACAACATTACTGTTTAAGCTTGTACATGTAGATCTAATACAATTTTTTTTCTTTTTCTAAGAATGTAACATTTTATCTCTTATCCTGTTATTCATGAATATTTTTACCTGTATGTGTTCTTAAATGTGCCTTCAGGTGTGAGCTTTTAAAGTAAGTCTTCCCACAGTCCTCATGGTGACAAACATGATTCCGTCGTCTGCTACTTCCCTTTGAATCCATAACACCTCCTGTACTTTCAATTTTACTATGAGGCGCAGGCGCAATTGGACAAAATTTATTAAGTTTAACGTTTTTGTTGTTGACATGTTGATTGTTCAAAGAGTTATTCACAATAATCACCTGAATTATTGGAAGAGCTGGTAATATTGCTGTGGGGAGCAACTTTGGAGATTCAGGTTTGTCTGTTGGACTAGTAGAAATGGAAGCATTTGACTCATTCGTTTTGGGTATCTCCTCGATTGTCAACATATCATTCAATAACTTTGTCCTTTTCCGTACAATCTCTTCCTCTTCCGGTCTGTTGATTGAAACTTCCGTCTTTTCATCGGCTGGAGAAGACACCTGGATATTTTTGGTGATTTCCTTTGGAGAATATGTCGCGATGTCGCCAGTTTTCCTTTTTGTTGGAGAAGTTGGTGTCTTTTCTTCTCTCCTCCTTTTTGAGACAGTTTCCAAACGATTGTCGTCATCATCGCATGCTGGTGAGAGGAACTTTCGTTTACAGGAGACATTGTCCCTAACCAGCGGGGGTGGGGGACGGAAAGGTATGTTTGAAGAATCAATAAACATCTCTGGTGATCTTGAAGGATTGCAAGTAGCCCCAGTTTTAGCAAGATGGTAATTTGGCACAATGACCGAAACGTGTTGACAACGCATCATCTCTCTGTCAAAGTCGTCTGGGTCCTCCAATAGAAGCTGAAAGGGTAGATTCTGAAATTGCTAGCTTTGAAATTTATAAATGAGGAAGGTAAAGATATCAGCAGATTTTTATAAAAATGATTTAATGTCTGTTTATACTCACTCTAGCAAGCTTGGGTGACCCTCTGAATTTGGGGTATTCTTGGAAAGAAGACAAGGAGTCATCATCGCTGTAAAATCGCGGACTGCGAACAGGCGAGCCACGGAGGTAAGGGGAGTACAAGGTCTCATCCTCGGACGCGTTTGATTCATCACCATTCAGGGTGATGTGCGAGGAGTTCCGCATTGACAGAAGAGTCTCCACTGCATCTCTTTCCCCGGGGTTGTCAATATCAGGCGCGTGCAGAACCATTGTGATGACCTGAAAAGTTATTGATGATTATAAAGGTATAGTACAAAGAAAGTCGTTGCTGACGTGATCACTTTAGCAATTAAAGTCAATGAACTTAATAAAATACAACTAATTATAAATGTATTGAATTGGTATGTACATGTACTAAGTATTATGCTTATGAATATTGGGGTTATAATTCCAAATAGAACAACGTTTTTTGTTTTTAATGTTTCTATCCACCAAGTCGTTGCTGACGTGATCACTTTAGCAATTAAAGTCAATGAACTTAATAAAATACAACTAATTATAAATGTATTGAATTGATATGTACATGTATTATGCTTTGGAATATTGGGGTTATAATTCCAAATAGAACAACGTTTTTTGTTTTTAATGTTTTTATCCACCTCCCTTTTTCATGGACTTTAAAAACATGTATTATCGCTTATGAAATTTGGTTTTACTGACAGAGGCCTTCTCATCTTTAAATTAAGTTTTCTTTATAATAATCACATATTGCCAAATCTAAAATATTTGAACAATGCGTGGATTGATTTCATGATAAAATTTTCGCATACCCTCTGTAAAATAAGATTGTAACCAGTTGTCACTGATAAGAACTTAAAATTTTACAACTAGACAGTCTCGTTAAATTGCAACTACATGTAGTTGAATTAAGTTCTAATCAATAAAACATTTTAGGATATTAATTTACACACTATAGAAAAATGTCCCCTTCCAACCATTAAAGGTTTTGTTTTAAGCGAACACCTCCATATTATTCAAATCAATACCGCATAACCCTGGAAAAGTTCGTCCAATATTTTGAAAGAAATTCAAGCTAGACGTCCCCTTTTTCTTCAAAATTTCGCGCCACAACTTAATCGGAACCAATCAAATTTCAGCGTGGGTGGTAACCGATCTCTCTAAAATATGGGTCACTCTGTGTGAGATATAATTTTACGCTGTCCAGTGCATGATCGTAATGTTATCATTCGAACTTCGGACTTATATGTTGGTCTTCTTAATCTTGTATGATAAAAACTGAGATATCAGCGCTCTATGCTTTCAATTGAATGAGGAACTTATCTTATGTAACTGTTCAAATGTAGGTCACATATTTCAGTATGCCAGAGAAACTATCATGCCGCTGTAGTTTAGAATACACGTGCTTGTGCTATTTAAAGAGCAACAGAATTGTAAAAGAAATATATCAATGAATTATGTTTAAAGCATTAAATGAGTATGTTTCTTCAGTACCTTTAATTTTTCAATAAAAAATTTAGCAAAATAAATAAATTATTGGTAAATATCAGATTATCTATATACAGCTAGGCTAAGAAAATATAATAAGAAAATGGGTTTAGAATTTATATTTTGCATCAATTAAGTGTGCTTCGATATAGTTTTCTTTTGAAATTAATTATTTTCAATATTATTCAAAACCTCTAGCTGTTAAATATATATATCACTGGAGGAAAATTTTCATTTTTTATTAAAAAGAAAAATCTTACTTTTACAAGGTATAAGTCCAGCACTTTTTCATCATTCTAGCTTGCTATGAAAAATATTTTTAATTTTTTAGAGCACTGTGCTTGATACATGGGGGTTAATGCGTTATTAATCTATGGAGCGCCATTTGTGTTTACACAATCTAATTTTGGCTTTATTACATATACCTTGACAGATATTTCTTTTTGGACATTAAAATATGCATAGTCTTTGATCATGTTGATGTTTGAAACAGTCGCTCTTAAAAATATTACATTCATTCTGATTTATATATTAATGTATGTCGAGTCTCAACTCTTTAGTTAAGAAAATACTTATTTTAGTAAAAAAAAAAAAAAAAAAATTAATCCACTAAATGCTTATTTAAAACTGGCGAAAAAACATGTACAAAATTTAGTTGTTAAAAAACCATGAGTCACTAAACGTTTCTCTGTGTGGAAAAAACTGACTCGATCTAGACCCGAGCAAGGGGTACAGTCTGTTGTAACAATTTTCAACGCACAGACTAATTGATATCAATTCAATTTCTTTTGGATATCTAAGATGCTGAGCCATCAGTGACATTAAAATTAATTTATTATTATGGAAGCAAACGTGAAAATTCATGTAGAACATACTGAAGTAAGATGGAAAAAAATGTATTGACAGTTTCATCGTGAAATAAGTCACTCACTCACGAGGCAACTTCTTATATTTTTTGCATGCGTATAAAAATTGCCCCCTCGTTCCCCGCCCTCCTCCTCATTATTCAATGCTATTAATATATTTAAAACAATTCCCAGACAAACTTTGATCAAGTTATAGAGATCTGTGGGCTTACCGTTTGTGTATGATAGTACTGACACAATGTTTGAACTATATTAAGTTATTAGTCTTTTATCAATTTCTGAAAGAAGCATTTTTCATTGTTATGTTCCTAACTGGTTACCGTACAATAACATGAAACATTTGTAAACAAATTTAGGGTTGGGCGTGGACATCTTAACCAATCAGAGAGGACAGTAAATACAGGCCTAGCCAATGAAATGGAGTTGTCAGTGTGATCAGAGTCTGATTCTATGGATCGGTGTACATGTGTTTTAAGTGACAACCGAAAGAAACTGATGAAATCGTCATTGACTGGTAAATTGTGGTTTATATACGTGATAGAAAGATCGTAATGTAGGGAAGATCGCCCTTGGTTTCTAAACCTCCAGAACACAGACTGTGCATATTGCAGGTTAATATTAAAGGTGATCCAGCTATACTTAATATCGTGTTATGGCTAAAGACCTGTTGAACTCTATGCTGTATAAATTCACAATCTATTTAAAATTAGATCTTCCATTCGCTCCCCGATTTTTTATATGTCGCGCGACATGTAAAAAATCGGGGAGCGAATGGAAGATCTAATTTTAATTAGATTGTATAAATTCAATAACAAGGACTTTTTTTTTAAAATATGAAATAGTTTAATATGTTACAAAAGTCAATTATAAATACCATGTGTGCTGTATAGATTTATGAACGTATATAATAATTACACCTGTATATAGTAAGTCTTTAGGTGGGAATCAATCGATTGTACTCAAATACACTGAAAGTGTACGTTATTGTCATATTATTAAATTTATTCCTGAGTACATAATAGAATAAACAAACATTATTTTACATAAGTACTCATGACTGACAAGAATAAGTATTTACAGGTGTGTAACAGAATTCTTACAAACGATATCCTAAAAGTTTTCGTTGAGAACATGTAAAACGCCCACATCATGAATTTCAATAAATACAAAGCATTTGCGCTGTTTGATAAGAGTAAATTAAAAATTAAGATTTTTATCAGCTGTTCACAAATAACCTTAAATTTTGTCTTTGACATTTCCTTGTGATATTTAATATTGACCTTACTTTTGCAATCTTAGAACAAAACATTAACATACGTATAGGGTTCTTCAATCACGTGGGTGTAATGCCCTCGAGCAGGCGGACTTCATTAATTTTCGTCATATTTTTTATACCATCTCTGAGTAATAAACCCTTATATCTATATACACAGCAATACTCATTACTTATAGGTAAACCAATACACAACGTAAAATAACAACACAACATTCTTTTTCTCTTAATTTTCTGCAATAACTATAAAAATTGCCGACAATAGCGTCGACTGTCGTGGAAACGTAGTCATGTACTTCGAACATTGAACTCATTATCATGATTATAGCACGAATCCAGCTTTCTAGTAGGCCTATATTAGGTGTAAGTGTATCCATTGTATGTCAAAATGTTTTCAGCTAGATTCATCGTCATTACCCCCGTGTTTACATATATCACAAGTCCTTCAAAATAAATGTTTTAAAGATGCATATGACACTAAACAAGAACACAGAATCAAGTATGTTACATTCTTTAATCAATAATAACTTCATAATAATAAAGATAACATTAAAAAATAAATAATAAAACGTATTAAATCTAAACTGCATGTAAATGTATAAATGAATAGACAAAATCTGGGACAAGATATATTGCATTGAATCCAAGTACCATCTCATTAACAGTGCTATGTCGATGAATTCTAATTAAACCCATCATATTACCTACAATCTCTCAGTTTATGATAGTATAAATATATTAAATGAAGAATGTACAATTAAGAACAAAAGAAAATTAGGAGGCACAATATATACACTATATTTAAATTCTGCAAGCTACACTTCTCTATACATAACATACATCACCAATTAGCAGGTAAAAAAAAATGCTGCACTTTATGGTACACATGAATTGCTTATCAATCAATCAATCACTCATTTTTTGTCTTTCTACTACAAGTTTAATTGTTGAACTCCACAGAAAACTAAATCATTACAAAACTAAATTACAACCTTAGATCAAGGAAACATTGCCATTGATGCAAGACACAACTTTTTTGTATTGTGTAGTATGTACTGTTAAATAAATGTTTTCAACTGATTCAATATGAATCAAACTACTCCTCTCTTTTCTTTTAACATTGTACGTAACAGTACCTGTTAGAACCAATACAATTTTTCATGGAATTTAAAGAGAGTATTTTACACAAGTATATATTAGCGACATAAGATATATACACTTCAAAATATTAAAAGATCCCTGGCACAATTCAAATAAAGTAAATGGCAATTCAGCACCAACAAACTAGTACTTTTTATACACTAAATAAATATTGCACAAAGAAAAGTCACTTTGATATTTAATGTCTATTGTCTTCTATCATCAGGGATGGAATATGAAATGATTGAACAACACAAACATGTATGCTGCAAAAGTGTTCTTAGAAAAGCAAAAAGAAAGTACAAAATATAAAATCAAGAGAGATTGGAACTTTGATCAATAAATAAATAAATAAATACAGAGACAGAAGAGCTGTATCTATGTTACACATCATCCTTCTTACCCTACATGATCATCTTTCACAACTAACCACATGATTAAACAAAATGTTCTACTTCATCAAGTTACAAACATTTGAAACTAAGATAACCTTGCATTCTCTTTTAGCAATACACCATGTAGATGTAATCCAGAGGAGTTCATGAGCTTCAGAAGAGAAATCTTTTCATGCCAGTAAGGTGTGTAGATATGATGAGGCACTTTTCTCCATCTTGCTTAGGCTGAGCGTGTGGCATGTCTTTTCATATGTTTAGAAAGGTGGTCACTCCTCATAAATCGTCTCTCACATTGACTGCATACAAACTTTTTTTCCCCAGTATGGGTGTACTTGTGACGTGACAGTTCATCAGAGCGGGCGAATCTCTTATCACAATTCTCCCATACACACACAAATGGTTTCTCTCCTGAAACAACAATAGAAACAAATTAAAAGTCAATCTTGGCATTTTCCTCAGTATCTCTAAAAAAAATTCTTACCTTCAATCAACGTTTTTTTGTGTTAATAAAAACTTAATACATACAATGTATCACCTAACATTTACACTCTTTATTATTATTCCCTGCTTTGTTATACAAAACTATTGGTGTACATGATAAAAGTCTTTATTAATATGGCATAATAATTTCACATTTCCAACCTAAATGATATTCTAAAAATACACGGAAAATATCACCAACCTGTATGTGTTCTGAGGTGGGCTTTTAAGTGCGAACTCTTGAAGTAAGTTTTTCCACAATCTTTATACACACACACATGGCTTCTACGCCTATTTCCCAATCCCTGGTCTTGCACTGTCCCTTCTGATGAATTATTTGGTGGTGGAGCTGGGGCAATGGGACACAGTTTATTTAACCAGGCATTCTTGTCATTGTCCAAACTCGATGATTGGTTATTCACAATGATCACCTGAATCACTGGGGGATTTGTTGCTGTATTTAAGTTCTGAATTGTAGCAATAGTGGATGTAGAAATGGTGGCACTTTCTTGTGATTGAACTTTAATGGTGGCACCGCTGTGTGATTCAGTCTGTTGGTCTGTTATGGGCTTGATACCTAGCAATGAGTCACATGTTTTCTGTTTCTTAGCCTCTGGCTGCACTTTCTTTAGAATTGGTGGTGGCCTCTTGACATGGAGTTTCTGTTTATTTGGTGGAGGGTATGGGATATTTGAAGAGTCAATAAACATTTCAGGCATCCTTGATGGATTACTTGTTGCACCTGTTCTGGCAAGTTGATAGTTAGGCACCATAGCTGCAGGCATTTGTTGACTTCTCATTATTGGTTTGTAAGGAAAATCTGAAGGATCCTCCAGCAAGAGCTATAAGTGAAACAGTTCAATCATCAAGAACAAATGCAAACTATTAATAACCCAGATTAACCTGGATTCCATATCTTTGCAAACATAGTGGTTAAAAGCAAATATTTGTTTTTATTGAAAATGAAGTCATCTACCTATCTACATAGAGTCTACATTGATCATACTTTGAAGCATGACTAATTTATCTTCAGAATAATATTGATAGCATTATTCACCTATGGCTAAAACATTTTGAAAAAACAAAACAAAACAAAACATTATTTACATTGAAATAAAATTGCAGTGTGAGCATAGACCTAGCTGCTTATACAATGTGCATTAAAACTGAAAAAAAAGTATTATAAAATTACATAGCCCTTTCATAAATAAAAAGTTTATTCTGAATTACCCTAGCAAGTTTTGAGTTCCTTCTGTATATCGGAGGATCAGATGAGTTCGAGTCGTCATCAGATGGGATGGATGTGGTCGGAGACGGGGTGAACCGTGCATCCTCCTCCGATAAAGTGGAGTTCTCATCACTACTGCTGACACAGACTGAATTCCCCATGGAAAGCAAGGTCTCCACTGCATCCCTCTCCCCAGGGCTGCTGCAAACATCTATTGCCCCTGTTTGAACGACCATTCTGAATTGCTGAAAGAAGAATGAATTAACACTGTATATCCATCTTTTATTATCAAATTCATTTGACATGCATAAATTTCTTTATCAGGAAGGTCAGGTCTCACATGTCTATTTATATACTCTAAATTGATTATTTAAAGAGAAATAAAAAAAACCAATGCACTATCAACTGCATACATGATATTCGGGGATATACACACAGGGGCGTAACATATCATGCAACATAATTAAAGCACTGACCAATCCTTCAAATTCTCATCTGCTTTAAAGATAATAATATGGAAACATTGCCCTTTTTGACAACGAATGTCGAGTCATTCACTCATTCTTGACATGATAGGTCGACCGATATGGTGTATTGCCTGAAGTCAGACCTTACGTCATGCTGTCTTACATTATACAAGTTATATAAATATTTTTTTTTTTTTTTAAAAAAAACGGATTTACTTGACCAATAGAAAATCGAAAGTATCATTTTTTTTTATAAATACTATACCAAAAACACCAAAATTCAGGAAATGACCTGCATGGAACATACGAATTCATTAAATTTGACATCAAAAAATACGGGAAAACAAGAATAGTAATTATTCTTCTTTGCGTATTGAAATGGAGTGTTTCGAAGACAGACTTGAAGAATCTTACCTTTTGTGTTTATTTCATTCGTGTTTTCTCAAGATACAAGTCTCAAATGTATTACAAATCATTGCAATATGTGTAAAACATCAACAAAAATATCACCAGCACACAGTATGCTTTGTGCTAGGGCGGGGATTTTCTTATCCAATCAAAAAATGGGGGCACGAAGCGTTTAACCAATCGAATCAATTTCTGTGAGTGATCACTAGCTGATCCGAAGGGTACTTTGCACGTGTTTATATTTTGATTTCTCGAGTCTACGGAAATCTGTAGGTACCTTCTAAAATATTTTAAAATAAATAAATAAATTATAATGACTTTACACACATGAATGTAAAAACATTCATGATCATTACTAATTCTAATTATTACAACAATACGGTAGCATAATAAAATGAATATACATACATTTAAAAAGAGGCCCATGAACCACAACTCTCACCTGAGTCACCTTCGCTGTGCATGGTGCAACGTACCCTACCCCCAGGGGACATGATCTGAACAAACTTATTTACACAATTTGAGAATCTTTGTAAAGTAATATGAGGTTCTCAAAAATACTATCCATATACATTTCACACAGTATTGCCCAATACCACTGCACTCATTGTAACTGACGTTTCTCGATCATTTGAAATCTATTTTGCTAACAATTGTTCCAGTAGCATTATCATTTTTGTTTGTCAGTGTTACATTTTTTCACTGCATAAGTGTGCTTTCAGAAGATCAGCATCTCTGAAGCGCCTAACTTTTAGCATGGCGTTACTATTACTTTTCAATTGTAACGAACGCTCCCCCCTTTTTCATATGTGTTATAATGTGTTGAATGTCAAGCATCGTTATGTTATATAATTACACGTCTGTTGATCGTTTACTTGTACATACATAGTTGTAAAGTTGTACTGTAATTTATGTTTACCTCATGATTACCTTAATTGTCGTGTGATTGATGTTTTTAGCGTTCTCGAGCACACATGTTTTACTGAAAGTTCTGCCGCCGCCATACTTTGTTTACTTGTGTATTTTCCCATGATGCTTCACGGTGTATTGATCTATTTTTACCGTAGAACTTTATTTTGGCGGAAGATTTGATTGTAGATTCTGTTTAATTAAATGTTAAATGTGCTTTTAAAGTGTAAATTTATATTTTATTAATTTATTTACGTATTGTAATAATTTTACATACGATGTACGAGAGTGAGATTTCATTACGGGATGATAATTATGTATGATTGGCTAATTATTAATTACGGGATGGAATTATTAATTATGATTGGTTATCAATTACTGCGGGTTTTGGAAGTTCTATAAATACACAGACGCTAAGTATCGGGTGCTCTCTCGTTTCCTTTGTGTCCTAAAGAAAGGTCGCCAGTTTTATTTGTCCAGATTAAGGTGTGTACTATTTCAGTATATATATGTGACTGAAGTACATATGTAGTGCTAGGCTAAATTAATATTACTAGTCATTGTGCTAGATTCATTTATTATTACTAGTTAAGAACTAGTTACATGTATTTCTATTTTCTGTAAGAGTTAGGAAATATTTCTGCTGCGTGCTAGTAGTTGAACTAGTAGCGGGAATATTTATTTGTAAATTTAGTCATTTATAGAGAGCCTTTAAGTTTTAGTTTGGTCGGGGGAATTTATACATAAATGTTATACTGGAAATAGTGCCAGTTTATATCCGTCCGTATCAGTAGTTGTGCTGATTTTTGTCTTTTGTCCCAAGGGTTGAGACGTGTCAATTTTACACACTGTTACTCATTTTTGCTGTTGAACTACCTCAATAAATTATAAACTTTATTTAGCGACTTGGTTTTTATTCCTAGCATTTGCGGGAGTGTTTGACATCCGAAGCGTTACACAATGTTTATGATAAGAATTTTACAGATAATCCGTTTTCTCACAGATCACCATCGTCTAAGCGGAGAAGTCTATCATTTAAATAACGCATGTACCATGTACACACACATGCATGACTCGCTTTTGATATATTTCCTACTTCCTCCGGCATTTTCAGAGTTTTTTTCTGAAGTTTTCCAGAGTACAACACAAAATTGTATGGTTAACTGTTCCGTGACGTTCTACGACGTCATCTTTTTTTTGCCCTTTTCAATGAGGACTACCTATCTTCTGAAACCGATTTCTTTTCAACGAAGCAAAATATTACGCCATTATCTGGTATCAGAAACGATGAAACAATTCTTAATTTGAACGTGTAGAATTTTTCCGTTTTTGTGTCATTTTACAGAAGATATGACTTCAGACATTATCTAGTGTCTTGAATGTAAATTACAAAATTTAGATCTGCTCCGTGATCCGATTTTCTCATTTTTTTAAGTCTAAATAAGTTTGAAATAAACCACGATATTTTCAAATTTTTAAATACACATCATTTGAATTTACTGTTGAAATATTTCTTCCAAATTTGGATACAATATGACGTTAAGTAAAAAATTTATGAGTAGTCCACGAACTTCCCGAACAACCCTCGTATATGCTTGTGGTCCCTCAATAATAACGTCTGATGACATTTGTTTCCCTGCTTGTCAAGGAATATTTGGTAACTGATAGTGTCCCCAACTGAAAATGTATAGTTGCCCCCCCCCCCCCCGAAATATCTTCCTACGGGCCTGGCTGGGGTCATTAGTTACCAGGGGATGTGCTGTTACCTTTCTTGAATATTGATGTCACTAGGGCCTGCAATCAATTAATAGGACCTTTCCTTGAGAAATTGGTGCTTCGAAGATGATTCTCATTGATGGTGCTATCTCGTCTGCAACTTCCTTCAGAACCTAAGGAGGGATAGAGTCAGGGCTCTAGGCCTTGTGTGGGTCGAGGTTCTTTAATAGCTTAGCTATTTTCTTGATGTCAACATGGAAGGCGTGACCATATCTGGAAAAAAGCCGGACTTAATTCATTGTTGAAACCAATAGATCTTCCTAAGTGAACACACTGCAGAATGGATCGTTCATGACTGAAGCCTTGGCTTTTGGGTCACTGTACTCTTTGAGGAGTGCTACACCACTATACTGTCACATTTTTTACTGTATATGTAACTGTACACCTTTTTGGGTTGTTCTTATTGTCGATATGTCCGATCTTCACAATGTCAAGGTTTTGTCATACCGTACTTGTTTAGAGGAATGGTATTACAGAACCTTGACATTGTGAATGATGATGTCCTTGACATAGTTGTTAAATGTCCATTTGCATTTTCTTTGCATGTTGTTTTGCAGGGTTTTTTTTTTTTTTTTTTTTTAAATATCTATGTGATCTTTTTAGCTTTTCTCTCCTAAACGTGCGCTTTAAGTACTGGTTGATCCAGCACAGCTTAAAGAACATGTCAGCATGCATACGTTCTTCAATAATTAATAAGCAAGATATTTTAAAAGGTGTTCCGGAGGATGTATAGGTATCAGATGAAGGGGTAAATTCGGTGGAGTTGTGCTTGCTTAGTTTTGATACTTCTCTTTCTTTTTCATGTCTATTTGACTTATGTATCATTATAATATATGCTGAAAGGAAAAAGAAACGCAGGGTAACATAATATGTGAAAATTATTTGACTGCATTGCCGAAAATTATGAAAACTGGTCAGAGGGTTATCTTGGTTTTACCTAGGTCATATTTAAGCCGATGGTCGGGCGACCAATTTTCTCGTATCGTCAGCTGAAAAACAGGATTGGCCGAAACTGGTTTCTGGCTACGCGGAGCAGTCACATTTACTCCTAAGAACACCGATAATTTTTAGAATAAATAATTCTAAGTCGGCCAACAGTCGCCCGATCATCGTTCACTAAGCTGCAGTTTGATTTTCACCGTCGGGTGACATTTACGAAAACCCTAAATCCTAAATGTTGACCGACCGACGACCGACTTAAAGAACTGTCTGCCGATCGTCGGAAGATGATCAAAGGTTAGTCGACGGACTAAACAACGACTGCTTCAATTGAAGGAATCGGCCACCGACGCAGAAAAAATTATAACATGGCCCGAAAGACACAAAATTGGTCGGCCGACGAAAAAAGAGGTCAAAATCGGGCAAGACAACGGCCGATGAAAAGCCGACTGTCTCCTGAAGAATCCTATTTTTACCTCAAAAACCGTCGGCCGTTGTCGTTTTTATGAAAATCTGACTGGGGTTTTACTGTGCACTCAAATCGGTGTTCACAATTACTCAACCGTGAAAGTACATGTATGACGTCATCTAGGGAAAGCGGTAAAAAGCCAAAAAACACGTGCATATTAATGATGACAGGTTTTACAACACATGATGCGCTGGAGGTATACATATCGTTTTTCATTTTTTTTTTCAATTTGAATTTCTCTCAATCAGGGTACGGCTGACGGAAGTTCCATGGGGCCTGACTGTTGCATTCCTAAGTAAAGAAAAAGGCAACAAGTTAATCTGCAGTTTGTTGTGATTTTTTCCACAATAGAACGTATTATCCGTCGTCAGAAAGGAACTGGAAGAGTTTCCAACCAACCGTGACGATGACTTTGGCGCGTAACAAATTTTCTCGTCATTGAACTGATTTGAGCGTTGGCGCATCAAAATCCTGCCACCTGTGAAATCGCAATCTCACTACCACTGAAACCGCTTTTAATTAATACAGTAGGCAACCATAGTCGTTGCATTCACCCCAAAACTGAAAGAAAACCATTGCGCTATTTTGGTTTGTGAGCTCGTCAACTTTACGTCGGTGTTCCTCTCAATCCCTTACGTCTGCGCCCTATGCGTATTTTTTTTTTATCCCCGTTAATCCCCGGCCTAATGTACCCAGAGTTTTTCGAAAACTTCCTCGAAAACAATCACACTAACCCTCCGGCTCGACTGGCCTCCGTAAAGTCCATCATTTTCCAATCGAACATCTGTGAGACTAACTGGATGGTAGGGTTTGAACGCGTCGGAATGCTAAAGCTACTCTCGACCAACTAAGGGCTATCTTGTTGGAAGAGTTGAATAATACCCCTATGAGAAAGAAAATTGCATTGATGAACTCCACGCAAAGAAGAATCGAGGTTGTGACAGATGCGCGAGGGAGGCATAGGAGATATAATGAGAATTTTTGATTTTCACTTTTAGGGGGTACCATTACATGAG